GTTTTGGAGACATTCATCGAATTTTGGTAGAACCGTAGTCAACTTGACCCTCTAAAGTACGAAAATTCATTCCTGACTAGGAGATCAATTCTAAAAGAAGATTTATCTATATCTGTTAGGGTAGCCTTTGATCCTCAACCTAAAACACATCAGTCTAACATGTCATGTGAATTTGATTTGCTTGCCATTTTGGAAAGGTGGTTCTAGGATTCAGTACAAGCTTCAACTAAATCCTAAAAATTCCTTATCTTCCAACCAGGCCTATAACATCCAAAAGTTCTCATATTTTTGCTTGGTGACATCATCTCTTCAGGTTCAAATGTATAGATTTGGATGGCAATGGCATACTTACACACATTGAACTTCAGTTCTTCTTTGAGGAGCAACTTCATCGCATGGAGTGCATGGCCCAGGAACCTGTTCTATTTGAGGACATCTTGTGTCAGCTCATTGATATGATTGGACCTGAGGTTGCCTTTATTACTTTAATTTGCACATTGCCAACTAATAAACATTTTATGCTGAATTAGTTGCATTAATTTTGTTCTAGAATGATAGCTATTTGACGTTGAAAGACTTCCGAAGGTGCAAACTGTCTGGGCATTTCTTCAACATTCTCTTTAATCTGAACAAATTTATGGCATTTGAAGCTAGGGATCCATTCCTTATCCGCCAAGTAAGTCGAGTTCCTATTCATGATATAATATCCATTGATAATCTCACATGAACTGTTTGTCACTTGTAACACCTCTGCTTTCCTCCAATCCGAGTGCAGATGCGTGAAGAGCCATCATTAACAGACTGGGATCGTTTTGCACGAAGAGAGTATGTAAGATTGGCGATGGAAGAGGATGGTGAAGATGCTTCGAATGCAAGTGGAGATGTTTGGGATGAGTCACTTGAATCTCCTTTCTAGATTGAAAAACACACTGTGAAGACATCAGACATTCACATGCAGCCCTAATAATCAAGTCAAAATCATGATCGCGGCAAAACATGAACAGTTATTTGATATCTTATCTTTACAGAAACTATAGTTGAGGCAGCTGCATGCTTGCTGGCAGCATCCAAATTTTGACATGGAAGCAAGGTCAGATACTTCCACCTAGTTTGCTGCGGAGTTCATTTTGTTCCTGGTGACAGTGAGAGGTTTTGCCATTGCATCCATGATATGGTCTAGTTTTGCTGCTAAACTTCAGCTGATTGATTCATGGCAGCTACAAGAGAACAGCACCTTGTGATTATTCCGAAGGCAGACAAATAAGAAGATGAGCAGGGGTCCTTGCAGCGGATGCAATCTTCATATGGTGGATAGTGAATAGTTGGCATCACAATTTTTATTCCCATAGTGTCTCGTTTAGCTATCTGTCAAAGTATTCTTTCTTTGTTGAATAAGGTCATCAAGAAGGCCGGCCATTTACTTGTGTATTCTGTACTTTATTTAGTTTGTAGTCACATGAACAATGAGCTGAAATACTATATCACAGGTTTATTGTCATTTTTCTCACACACTGCTGTATTTAGATGTAACGCACAAGTGTTTGAGGATTCAAATAGACCAATCTTGTGCAAATGTTAGTACATGATATTAATACCGAAGAGTAAGATATGAGATCAACGCAACTCCAGACCTTTTTTTTTTCAGCTGAAAGGATGTGGATTCGTGTAGGAAGAAAGATGGAACTTCCAATCAAAAGTTCAAAACTGTCTGTGATAGTCTAGGCTAAATCAGTGCTACATCCAGCAGCACTGCAGTAGGCAAATCAACCGGTACATTTTGACCAGCAGGCAAATCAACCGGTACATCTTTACCAGCTTTTGGGCAGAATCAAAAGCTTTTCTTAACTACCGCCTCCTTTAGTAGACACATTAATCAGCCTAAGCAAAAGCTTTTGTTAGATTATTAATTTGTAGACATTTTGCATCTTTACATCAGTGGTTCATTGTATTTTCAGGGAGAAGGACCAATGTCGAAAAGGACGCCGGGCGGTCTAATAGGCTGGGCTACCTGCAAAGATCATGCCTTTGCTTTGGTTGCTCCACCAATGATTGCCTTACGCTGGAATGAACATCTGGGGCAGGAGAGGAAAGCATAGAAAGGAAGAGCATACTGTCCTCCTGGCCTTCTTTCTAAGCAAAATAAAGGACGGATCATTCAGTCATCTTTCCGACAACGGTGGAAGGGAGCTAGGATTATACAACTAGGCACCCTCTATGGCTCTAGCTAGGAAGATAAGGGCCATGGACAGCAAAACACTACCTACTGAGACGGAGCAACACGCTGAGTCGCTGATGAGCATCAAGATACACCATATGCTTTGACTGATGTGAACAGTCTAGCACTTCTCCCATGGGCCATGGCGCTAAGAACCGTATCAAAAACAATGTTACTAAGCTAGGAGGCAAACGAAAATGTGTGTAACATCTTATTGCACACTGAACTGAATGTCACTCATGGGTTTTATCCTGGATATCCAAAGTTGATCAGCAACAACCACATGCAGCGTATTTGTCCTCTGACAGATTGTATGAATCCAAATTAAGCATCATGTGGAGTTGACACAGATCCCAATTAAAGAATTCTCTTTTTAAGTTAAAGAATAAAGGGCCCCTCTCTCACATGCACATAGATTTTTTTTAAAGAAAGAATGGAGTCAACCTACTGATCCTTTTATTTGGGGCTCATGAGCTATTACTGGCTACCAGAAAATAAGAAGCTTGTGGGAAGATATACTACTTTGGACTACATCCAAGGCTCACTGCCTTCAAGTACCCACCAACATTTTTTTTACTAATAAAGTGATAATTTAGTTAAATTAATCATAAGGACAATGACAGGATTCAGCATCGCGATCCTATCAGTGATTATATATGTATCCCGTTCCTTTTCTATAATCCACAAATCAAAATCATTGTATGGTGTAATGGTGGTATACAACAATACAAAATGCTGCACATTCGAGTTACATATATACTAATTTGCAATTGTAGCAAAGAGACAGGTGCATCTAAAGTTCAAGGCACTAACTACTGTGGTGGCAAAGGTACGTAGCCCACAAATGACATCCCTATCCTCCAATATCATTGTATAATTAAATGATTGTGCAAATAGCTTAAAGGACCTAGTGGCGTCATAGTAAAAGCGCTTTTAGTCACCTCCTTTAGGGCTCTGAGGTGCTCCAAAATTGCAAAGTAAGGACAGGCCTTGCGTATGCTAATGGTCTCTAGTTTCCTCACGCAAGATGCTTAGCCTTGTAGGAGATGTGCACTAGCCGACTAGGACCTGACCAATCCAAGTCCCTGTTCTGGCCAATAAATTCCAGTGCGGTGAAAGTATTACTTTCATTTCAAGGAGAACAACCTAAAAATGTCACCACAACCAAAACAAAAGTAACAGAATAGACAGTGACAAGGTATATATGCATATGCAAAACAGACATTCAGGATCAAAGTTAACGAACATAATTCACTGCTGTTGTTTTCTGCATGAAGACAAAATTAAGTACCGCTTGTTTATACGAAGAGCATCTGAAAGTAGAGAGTTTTATCAGGGGGGTGTGGAACATGAAGAGAAATGCAGCTAATCTTCCGTTTCGTTCCTGATAGCTATATGAAAAGAAAAGGATGGTGCACCAAAAGAAGATGGTCAACAAAAGTCACTAATCATTGCCTTTTGGTTGACAGCAACATAATATAGGAGTATATGACTGTTAGTCGTCGGTCCGAATAACAACTAGTTCTGCTATCGACAATTAGACACACACGCAAGTTTTCATAAGAATTTGAAATGTTCTGATGAAACAATCATTGCCACTTTTAAGTGGTTTAGTATGAAAAAGCTTTCAATAATATTCCAAGGCTACCTAGTATATCCATACCATACCATGCATGTATAGAATAAGAATGGGTCCATGTGTGTGTGTTTATTTTTTAGGGAACTGTCCATATGTGGTTGTGTCCAACAAAACTAAAACTGCTTTGTAACTCCATTCTAGAGCTTACCAAAGAATCACAACTGCTTAGTAAAAGCGCGGTATCAATTATGGCATTCAGAAATGACAGAACGTCTCACTTACAGTTCTACGCGACAGCTCGCTGTGAATCTAGAGAAGGATATTAGTAAGAAGTAGCCAAAAGACTTTTACCAAACATTTCTCAAGTCATACGCAACATGCGCTGTAGTGGAGGAAACAATTGCCCCTCATTTCACTTATTAGCTGCCTTGCCAAAGATATTGTTGTCACAATCTCGACTTGAAAGGGCATACAAGGCAACAGCTTTACTTAGTCACAAGAAACAGATTGGCCAAAGCACGCAATACATGGCTGTATGATTGCAATGCATTATTGTCCACTGTAAATGCATGAACAAAGATGTATATATTCATGAAAGGGCATATAAGTCCTAAATGTTTGGCGTTGTTCTTTTCGATTCAGAATTTAAGCTCCCTGTGTTTAGATTTGCAAATGCATGAACAAAGGATGTGTTCATGTAATACTTCTAACCTAGCCATTTGCTTTTTTTTGCAGGCAATATTTGACGGCATGACATGATCCCACAGGAATATTTAACTGCTGGTGCTTTGCATATTGTACCTAGAACCAGAACAGAGCAAAATAGTTGTAACTTTCGACAGAATTTCCGCATCCGAAAGGCGTTTTGAGAAAGTCCTAGCCTTTCCTCATGACGCTGACACATTTACAACAAAATGCCAAATGGCTGTGTATCTGATAAATCAAGATGATAATCTCAAACAGCCACAAAGTTAGAAAAGCAAATTTTGCTTACAACAGCACAGGTGGGTCAGTGTCTTCTACTTTAGGGGCTGGCTGGTTTTCTTGGCGATTTAAAAGGAACACTTCCCTGCTCATCCTCCCCCTCCATTCATCCAACACACCCCCTTTGCAATTGCAATAAAACACCACTGCTTCTTTCCTTCTCCACATTGCAAACCACCAAGCAACAAGCATCCAAGCCTACTCTCCTTCAGAGTTTCAGACATGCAGCAAAGCTGTGCAGCCAATTTAGCGTGCCTCCCTGGCTTCGACATGGCCAGCCTTTTCCTACCACAGATTCAGAATGATCCCATGTACGATTTCAGCTCGTTCGACATGGTCGATCTCGATCCATACCCATACAGCTGCAATGGCAGCGTTACTACCACCACCGTGAGCTCAGTGTCTGCCGCGGCGGCGGACAACCACCAGGAGAGGCGTGGAAACGACGAGAGGAAGAAGAGGAGGTTGGCGTCGAACCGTGAGTCCGCGAGGAGGTCGCGCGTGAGGAAGCAGAGGCGCCTGGACGAACTCTCATTGCAGGTGGCCGAGCTCCTGGGCACCAACCAGAGGCTTCTTGTTGAGCTCAACCACGTGATCGCCAAGCATGCTGCCGTAGCTCGTGAGAACTCCAAGCTCAGAGAAGAAGCTGCTGGCCTGCAGAGAAGGCTCAGCGAGATGGAAGTGGAAGTGGGAGAAGCTGAAGCTGCAGCAGGGACACCTGAGGTGGCTTAGTTTGAGAAATACCGTGCCTAGTAGCCTTGTAGTATAGTACTGTTGAGTACGTAGATATAGATAAATACTACTAATTTCGGTGCTCACGAGCATATGCGTACATAGGAGATCACTTGTTGTATCTATATTCTTTCATGGAACCTTTTCTTTGACTAATGTGAGTTGGTAAAATCTAAAATGGAGCTCTAGCTGCAACATGGCAAAGCATTTTTATTTTTTTGTCCTTTGGTATAAATCTGACGAGTTGATTCAGGGCATTTCAAGGCAGTTCCTAACAGCACTTTCCCTGGGCATTATTGGGTAGCTTTGTCGACAGGCCGACCTGTTTGTTTACCAGAAGAATTTCTGCCCCTTCAATCTTTGTCTGTGTTGTCTGCCCACAATAGAAAGCAAGGCTCTGCTCAACCACTCAGGATTAATAACAGTCTCAGTCCAAATGGCAAATAGTATGACTAAAAATCGTAGTCCCCAACTCACTGACTGAAGGGAAAGCTCCAAAGTTCACATTGCGGTTGCCTCTCCCGCGGGGAAATCGGCTGGGAGATGCCGCCGCCGGCGAGCAATGGCGGCGGCGCCGCCCCGGGAAGGCGCTGTTTACCTGTGATTAGGATGTGCCCGCCATAGGGGGTCTTTGACGCTTTTGACCGTGGTCACTGGCCAGATAAAAGCTGTGTGGGCCTTACGCCTTAGACTCAGTACGAGGAAAGCGCCTGGCCATCTGGTCCGGCGCTTTTTCTTTATTCCCATTCGACCATTCCCCAGCATAGCATGCTTCTTGTTTCCAAGCTATTGTCCAGTGGGTGAAAGGATGCACTTAAACACGAAAAAAAGATCTAGAAAAAAATTCATGCAAAAAAAACTTGAATGAGCTTAGAGTTTATAATTGAAACTCCAGAGATTTATCAGTTCACTGGATGCTTAACGAAGGGCATGAACCATGAAGAGGCTCCTACTCCTTTATAGGGGCCTCTGAGTTCTGCGGAACGCACTGGGCACTGGCAACACCGGGATCCCATCCCATTGGAGAGCACAGCATTCCAAACAAAACTTAAAGAGAATTTGGAGCAGTTTACTATGTCGTGTCAAACTAACAAGGAACAAGGTGAAAAGGCTATCGAGTTTAGACTAGAAACTGAGATCAAGCTGCAGAGGTTGAACAACTGCCATAGAAACATAGTTTTTTTTTTGAAAGAAGCCATAGAAACATAGTTAATGATCAGTGACCAGATGTTAAACGCTGGCACATTATCTTCTTATTAGCGCCGCTGACAGAAAATTGCCTTCAGTTGGTTAGTTTGCAATCCTGTTTGCCGGCATCAGTCAGTCTGCCGCCTCATCAAGACGTGCCTTGCTCAGGTCTATTTTCTCCCGGGCATTCAGTTGCATCATCTCCTGCGCCTACTGTGGCTCCACTGCCAGCGCCTGCGCCTCCACTCTATCAATATAATAATATTTGTCAGATCACAGCACCGTAGAAAATCAATTAAAGCGGTCAAAGGAGCCTTCGCAAATGTGGAAGACAGAACTGACTTCAAATGGTGAAATCAAGGGATAGCCCTTCCATTTTGAGATGCAACGTGGAAACAGCATAAGCACCCTACTGCGGAGAAGATTTTGAAATATACCCCAGTGCTGCGAGGGAGCAGCAAATACTCACCTTGGTAAGATTCAGCCAAAAAAAAACTAAATGGCTTAACAAAAATTTCCCTGTAACACGACACACCACATCATGTTTGAATGTCTGCACATATTCAACTCTAGCAATTTCAAAATTTGCAAGATGGAATCCAAATAAGATAAATATGGATTAAAATAATTGGATATGTGCGAAATTAGCAAATTCACAATACTGATATTTTGCTGCTGAGGGCCAACGCAGAATCCTGATGCAGAACAAGCCAAATGGGATCGGCTGACATGATGCAATCACGATCCACATCTATTGAAATAGCACTGTGACAGTACATAGATGGCCGCCATGCAAATAAGTGATGCTCAGTTCTCTGCTTCTTCGGTGAAACCCCTTGAAATCAAGGGACAAAATGAAAGGAGAAGAAACTATTGATCGCGGTCCTTAACATGGTACATGATCTAATTATTTAAATTTGGCCCACTGGGAAAGCAGAGAACAGTACAAAGGGAACTAAAAAGCTCATCATATCCCAACAAAGATATCACTGATGGCATTGAGGACCTCAAAAAAGCTGCTGAAGCTGAATAGATAAATCAAAAGTGACTGTTTGGTGATGTGATAATTTTCAACCTAAAAGCTAGGTGATTTAAGTTAAGACTTTAGGATGCTCTAAAGCAGATGGAGCTTGAAAAAACAGTAATGATTGTTTCTCTAGCAGATGCAGCGACCATGAGTTTCCAACTACATAGGCATACAGATTGTCACCAGTTCCTTCAAAAGGGTAAACAAGTTTATCACAACACCCCCCCCCCCCCCCAAAAATATATATATATATATATATTACAAGGCACACTGTAGAAAAATCTGCCTGCAAGCATCCAGAACCACCACAGGAACTCATAGCCACCTTTTGCTAGGTGGTTTGCTGCTCATGCATAAGCTTTCTGAATCCTTGGTTCCTTAAAAACTTCTTTTTTGTGCTTTATCCAGCTCCTATAAGAGCTTTTGGTAGCCTTATATGCATTGCACTGCTATGAAAAGTGCATAGCTTGTACATTTTAATTTTGGGCACAGAAATACTCAGAATCCACATTGTCACCGCCTCCCCCCCCCCCCCCCAGTTACTTCCTGAACTAGAAGCATTCATTTGGAACAAGCAAGCCAATAAGTGAGTCAGTAGATCATACTAAGAGGTTCATGACTTAGGAACTGCAGAGTAGAAATCATCGTATTGCATTATTTTCGCACCAAAACAAAGGCCAGTAACATACCTGCTCTGGTGCGCTCTGTTGGGCCACAGATACCACACCAGGCCTGCTCCGTCGCCAATCATGATCAGCGTCACCCGTTGGGAGCTCAAATCGGCACACGGGGCAAGTGTTCCTGATGGCAAGCCACGGGCGGATGCACTCCCCATGGAAGTAGTGCTTGCAGGGGAGCCTGAGGACACTCTGCCCCGCCGCAACGCCATCCTTGCACACAGCGCAGCCGTGCGAGGCCTCCTCATCGCTGAGCGCAACCTCCGGTAAGCCGTCCACCACCGCACGGGACGCCGGCAGCCGCCGCGCAGCCTCCCCGACGCGCCCCGCCAGCACATCGACGAGGTTCCAGTCGGTGTCGTCAGAGTCGGTGTCCTCGCCGCCCACCACCATCCGGAAGGGCCGCGTGACGACCTGTGGCGCGACGAGGTCGAACCCGCTCAGCATGAGCCCACCCACATGACCCACCTCGCCCATGTCGTCCTCGCTGGTGGCCTCCTCAACGGCGTCCACCAGGCCCTGGAAGCCACCAACGACCGGCCGCGGATCGAGGGTCAACCCGCCCAGCATCAGCCCGATCCCGTCGGCAGCCTCCTCAACGACCGCCCCCTGCTCGAATTCGGACCCTCCGCCGCCCCGGGCATTTCGGGAAATCATCGCCTCCTCCTCCTCCCGGAGGTATCCTCGACGAGTTCCAATGCAGAAACGAGGTGGGGGTAGAATTGGCTGAGGCCTCCGTCGGAATCGAATGAGCGGCCTAGGGTTTCGAGAATGGGTTCGTCGTGGGAGGACAGGGGCGCGTGGCCATCTCCCACGAGGACGCCGCCTCCGTCGTCATCGCCGTCGCGGAAGGCGAAACCTGAGATGCAGTACTCCCCGCCGTCTCCGTAGTCGAGCGCGAAGGGGCCGCCGATTAGCCCCTCGCCTTCGTCCCCGTCGCCACCGTAGTCTTCGAATGGGTCGTAGCAGAACGGGTCGTTGTCGCCGTCGTCCCCGAAGTCGTAGTCCAAGCCGAAGGGGTCGTCGCCGGCGAAACCAGCCATTGGGAAGGAGGCGATGGCGGAAGAGGACTTTTTTTTTCTTTCTTAATGATACCTTTTTTTTCTTGATGAAAAGTGTGAGGACCGGTTGCTTTTCAGACATCGGAAACGTTGGATTGGGCCTGGCGTTGTTTTGTCAGTGGGCCAACTCGAGCCCATTTGATACGGATTGCAGAGAATAGGTAACGGGCTTGGCCCCGGTGACGCAAAAGAAGCGAGCGTTTGCCGCCTGGCCTAGCTACGATCGTGCATTTGCTATTTTGCTCAAAAGAAAAAAAAAAAAATACGATCGTGCAAGACGTGCACGATAAAAGTTGTTCCATAGGTCAACCTCGTAAAATCAGTACTCACCTGAATTATAATTTTTTTAAATTCTTTTCCTTTAAATAAAAAAAATCAAAAGAATTATAATTTAGAACGGATTTAGAATTACCCTTTATTTTCAACACTACAGAGTACGGATGCCGTTAAATGAAAAAATACGGCCACGAATAGAATTTCTTGGCTGTGGCTCATGTTTACACGCATGTTTAAACGGTAGAAGACGCTTTAAAGCGGTTTTGTACTTTTAAAAAAATAAATATAAATCATGTAAAAAAAAGTATTGTTGCATTTATTTATTATGAGAGTAAAAATATTATTTTTGTATATATAAAAGTATGCATGTGAAAGAACTAAATATAGATATTTATGACGTCTATCATCGTACAATGATTCCTAACCTTTCAGCTCCTTATCCATAAAAACTCGAATTAGATTTACCTGGCGCGTTTTTGTCTAACGATGATTTAAACAGCATCTTCAAGAGTACCTCATATCTCTTCTCCATCCATATTTTTTTTAAAAAAAGGAAAAAAAACTCATCTCCAAAAATATCCATCTCTTTCCTATCTTTTAGCAATCCAGTGGCCGTTTAGGCGTAAAAAAAATACGGCCACGAATAGAATTTCTCGGCTGTGGCTCATGTAGCATGTCAGGTAGAAGACTCTGATCGGAATGATTCCTAACCTTCCAGTTCCTTGGTTAATTTGTATTGGCGCGGAACGGTGAAAATACTGATTCCATCTTGAAGAGTACCCATATTCCTTCTCCTCCATGTTTTTTTTTGAAAAAAGAAGAAGAAAAATTCATCTTCAAAACTATCCCGTATCCCTTACCCATCTTTTAACGATCCACCTCAGCGCGATCCGCTCTTCCCGCACCACAGCCGTCGTCTGCTTCCGCGCATCACTCTTCCGCGCCTCTTTCCCTTCCCGCCCGCCGTCGCAGCGACGAAACCTGGACGCGCTCATGCGGAGGCTCGCGCTGCTCTCGCCGTCGTTCCGGGACCTCGACGCTGAGCTTCGGGACGCCGCCCAGTACCTCGACTTCCTCCGCGCGCGCTGCCGGCTGGCGGCGCTCCTATCCGCGTCGAGCGCGTGTCGGAAGGCGTTCCGGAAGGACGAGCGCGGCGTGGTGAACGCGGTGCAGCTGTCCGCGTCCGGGTCCAGGTACGGCGCGCGCGTCGGCGTGGGCTTGGAGGAGACGCGGCTCCCCGTGTCGATGCTGCTGGCCGTGGCGCAGTCCCGGCGGTGCCGGAAGCAGATGGTGGCCGCCGGCGCGTGCGGGTGCCTGCAGGGCCCGGTGGGCGCCGAGGTGGATGGCGCCAAGCGCCAAGTCGAGTGCCTCGGCAAGGGGAAGACGCTGGGCGTGTTCCCGCGGACGTGACGGTGACGTCGCCGTGTGGTCTGTTGTTCATCTAGAGCTGCCTCAACTCAACTGTATGTATGTGCTGCTGCTCCTATGATTTGCCTGCCCCGGTTCACATGCTTCTTGATTGTGTTATGAACTGATGACGATGGTGATGATCTTGTACATGACGATGGTGCCTGGCTGCCGCCGGCTGGGATCGGGACGAGTACGAAGGAAGTGTCGGCCAAGCGTAGATGCGACCAGCTTCGTGATGTCACGCGAACAAAAAGAAACTGCCGCAGAAAAAAATCTTATGGACCAAATTTTGATTTTTAGGGGTGAATTATTGGGTACTCCTAGGGATAGCCTAATTTATTCCTTCTAATTTTTTTAGAGTTGAAAAACACTATATTTTGGGAAACAAAATTTAGGGTATTCTTGAGGATCAGATTGGCAGAATTTCTCCTCGCCACCAGTGTGGAAAATCTCGACTTCGTTCGATTGGTCTATAAGCCGCTTGTACTTATTTGTACGTCTGATTAGCTGATTTGTCAGGAGGAAAAAAAAAACTAAGCTGGCTTATCGTGGCAGCCCGACAGAGCCCTCGTCGGGTACAGCTGATTTGTTGGAGATCGGATGCATGCAACTATTTTCCTTTCCTCCCTCTTCGGTCGGATAAAACCCACCGCCAACAGAATTTCCACCCATAATCATCATCCTCAACAACAGTCTCCAGTCTCCACCGACCTCTGCCGCAGATCCATCGCTCTCAGCCACACCACATACCGCCGCCGCCGCCGCCTGCCGCCTCTCTCCGTGGATAAGGCCAGGCCAGTCCGGCCGGCCAGGCATTTTATTTGCGTCCAAGAAAGGCAGCGCCGCACGCAACCGGCCAGCCAGGAGCACTCCAATCCGGCAAGTAAGAGGAAATTACTAGAAAAGGGCAAGTAAAGACCGGCGGCGTCACCGACACAGCGGCGGCGGCATTGATCCTGCCCTACGGAAGGGAGGGAGGGAAGGAAGGAAGCCAGGATTGAGACGCAACCTGAGCTGGAAAGTTGGGCCTTTTCCTCGGAAAGGGACGGGGCCGCGACGACCCGAGGCGGCAAGATCGCCCTTGGACGGTTCTTGGTAGGCGGAGAGAGATATTATATCATAATAATACTCTGATATCACTCACATACCCGGTCCGGCGTTCGCCTATAAGAAGACCGGAGGTGAGGAGGAGGGAGATCCCTCTCTCTGCAAACACAAGTTGTCCTCTCTTTGGTTTAGTTTAGTTTGCGCTGCTGGATTTGTTCAGGGTTTTGGTCTTGTGTTGAGGAAAAGAATTGGGGTTCTTGAAAGGTATGTTCTTTCCTTCCTCTCGTGCGTCCATCTTTTAGAGCTATTGATGTGAAACCGTGCTGCTGTTAGATTTCTTTGCTTGGCATTTGGGTTATCTAAGAGCCGATCCCAACATTTCCTTTTTTTCCCTGAAGAGAAATTTAGTGAACCTGTTTGTATTAAGGGGGATAACAAGATCTTTTGTGGATGATGTGTTGAGTATCTTATTAGTAAGTGTCTCTATGAATTAAAGAAGCTGGATTTTAGCATACCTTACTTATGTGAGTTTTGGTGTGCATGGATTTCTAAGCTCAAATTAGCACTCCATAGTGATGTGAAAATCACTGGAACTTTCTGTGTGGTTGTTACTACTAGTTCCCTAATCCATTGGTACATCACATCGGAGTTGATCATCTAATTTAAGACTAGTCAAGGAATAATGGTTGAAGATGACTAGCAAAGGAAGGTTCCAATGCGCTAATTCAAGTTTCTCACATACAGGTGAGTGAAACAAATTGGTATTGGGAACAGATCATCAAGCAATGTATCGCACAAAGCGATGCAAGATGTGACCACACCGCTTCTCCCGATCAAAGCTGAGGAGGACGCAGTTCATGAGTTTGACGGAGCTTCTTTCTCTGGTGCGGTCTTCAATCTGTCAACGACCATTGTAGGGGCCGGAATCATGGCTCTGCCTGCGAGCATCAAGATGCTAGGCCTTATCCCTGGTATTCTAATGATCATCCTTGTGGCGTTGCTCACCGAGGCATCCATTGACATGCTGGTCAGGTGCAGCCACCAGGGCAAGATTACATCCTACGGGTGGTTGATGGGTGACACTTTTGGTCAGTGGGGGAGAATTGCGCTACAAGCATCCGTGGTGATAAACAATGTCGGCGTGTTGATTGTATACATGATTATTATTGGTATGCATCTGAACATCATCATTTATGCCTACTTTGGTGTGCTCTCGAGTATTCAACACTGGTGCTTGGGAGTATATGTTTAGGTACTACTACAACTTTTAAGTTGCTACTCAAAGTTGTGTAATCTAGAATTACTTGAAAAGCTCATGAGTTCCTCAGCTATGCATGTTGAACAATTCATAACAGGAGCATCCTTAATTGTTGATAAAGCTTATGATGATAACTATGTTTATTAAGTTGATCCCCTGCTTTAAAATGAAAAGATATAACAATCTATTCTTCATCTTCGTTTGCCTTGGTTTTTAAGTTACTTTGTTTATACCATTGTAAGGTAATATAATTGTTCAGTTATAACTTCCATAACTTCCAAGAAGGGCTTACCGCCTAGTGCCCGGTTCGAGTCGAGGTCTCTTATCGCCTATGACCGGGAAGGTCCCACCCTTCCTCAGACCCACGAGAGCGGGTCTCCTCTAGCATTTTTATAACTTCCAAACGTTGCAACAATCTTATTTTCATGATTATGTTCATGAGAATAAAGTGTATGAAGTGGCCATTGTTCCTTTAGGAATTACTAACTACCCTTCCTAGACCATCACGGTTGGCGTATTTGAGCGGTTTGGACCTCATATGTGGAATTCTCTTGTACACTAGGTCTTCCTTTTTTTCCATAACTTCCATGTTGTCCATTGACAAAATGACGTTGCAACAATCTTATTTTCATGATTATGTTCATGAGAATAAAGTGTATACAAGTGGCCATTGTTCCTTTAGGAATTACTTATTATCCCAAGGAACCGTGGAGTTCGATTCGACCATGCGGGCTACTACTCATCACCGCCACATCTCGACTACAATGGTGTTTGTTCATTATTATTATTTTTATCTAGGCGATGTCCTATCGTGATAATGAAAGACTCAAATCATTGTCTGAGTGTTCATCACAAGTTGCGTATTTGAGGGTGGTTTTTCTACAACACCTCATATGTGGAATTCTCCACAATTCTAGTTTATTGTACAATGACACTACCCTCTACAACTCTTTCTTGTGTTTGCTCCAAAGGCTAACTAAGAGCCACACCAACCATGGTGAGCTTTAAGCGTTTCAACTAGTTTGGGTAAGCATGTTGTTATACCATTGACAAAAATGACACATGTTGTCCATTGACAAAAAATATGTCATTTTTAATTTCACTTGCTTGCCGGGATCCCTTTACTCACTTGGAGGTTCACTTGGCATCATCACTCGCCAAACTTCCGCATTGGCCACAAGCCACAAGCAATTCATTTTTGAGATACAAGAACCCTCACAATCACCACGATCGGAGTCGGAGACAATCACTCCTCCACTCAACGATCCTTGCTCTTGGCTAACAAGCGAAATGGGCCTTTTGTTGTCACTATGATGATGAATCAATGATGTAGATGAGTGGGAGTCCTTTGGCTAGGGTTGCTTGCTATGTCAATGAAAATGTGACTCATCCATGGGGCTATAAATAGAGCCCCCATCAAATAGAGCCGTTATACCCTTCATTGGGCAAAACGCGATTCGACCGGACGCTCGGTCGGATGACCGGTCCCTAATGCTCGATGTCGACCGTGTCCAGACTCAACGGTTCCTAAGATAGATGGAGTTAGTTCTGACGCTCGAATCTCGAAACTGCTCACACCAGTGTGCATGACGGATTCGATAAGCTCCCGAGGCATTTTTTGTCACGCGTCCATCCACCTTTTCGATCGGACTACAATGGTGCGTCCTCCTAGTGTCCACTTGGTTTGGCCTTGTTTGTCATTCGATTCCATTTCAACTCTTACTTCTTCATTACTAAATGTGTTTTTGTGCTTCTATTGCATTTCATCACAAAAGCGTTGATAATGAGCTGGAGGACAAGACTCAAATTAAACCAATTGTATATTTTCACAAATATTATCACCTTAGCACTCCACTAGATCCTAAATGCATATGCTGAGTTAGAGCATCTAGTGGCACTCAAGTGTTTACATTAAATGTAACAAGCTTCTTCACCAAAACATCTCTCCTATGGTTTATACCTTTGCCTTGAGCTTTTGTTTTTCTCTACCTTCAAGTGTAAGCCCTTGATCATCTCCATGCTATCACCATTGTCATGTTATGATCTTCATTGCCAACTTTGCTACCTATCTCATGATCACTTGATGAACTAGGTTAGCATTCATCAATTCAAAACCAAATTAGAGCTTTCAGACTTGCCAACTTTGACTCTCGATCTTCAGCTTTCCATTCAATGCATAGTGAGATAGTGAGTGAGCTATGTTGTCCATATCATGCTTGTCTTTCCTATAGTCTTCTTTGCCCTTAGGCTCAACTTGGATGGATTACTCTTTCCCACCGCAAGGCACATTTCCCGTGACAACAAGAGGTTCACCATTATCACCATCTCACTCATTGCTGTAATTTATCTTGCTGCCATGTTTGTACCGAGCATCTGGGATGCGTTCCAATTCACTGGCGCCATAGCTGTTGTGCTTATTGGTTTCATCTTTCCTGCCATGATTATACTCAGGTAACTTGTTATCCTCAACGAGTGGTATATGACTATGTATCCCTGCTTTGTAGGTATATTTGACTTATGCCATTTTGCACCTAACAGTATTTTTGCTAATTCACTTTTTTTCTGTAGGGATCCATATGGTGTTTCGACCAAGCGTGACAAGGTTTTGGCGGTAACAATGGTTGTGCTTGCTGTGGTGTCCAATTATGTGGCCCTATACAGCGATGCGCTCAACATCTTCTACAGGAAGCAGGAGGCCTAGAGTCCATACCTCAGGGGAAAGAAAAGTTTAGAGTGATTGTTGAGCTTTAAGCTACTACTGAGCGGCGTGCCACTAGATTTCATGGTGGTCAATAATTTTTGTTTGGTCACTAGAAAGAAACTTGGTTTGCTGCGAATATTTGTTAGTCTAATGAACATAAACCTCATCAACATCTAGATGGGCCACTTGTGCTATGATCACTCGTGGAACAAATTTTTTGTTTTCCGTGGTTGTTCATCCAGTCATCTCGTAATGGATGACTGAAAATGCTGTATATATACATATACAATATAAAACATAGAGAATAAAGGGTAGATTCCCTACTTTGTGTCTTGTTTTTTCTATTTGCACCTGTTGTGTTGATCTTAGAAGACGAGGTAAATGTCATAACAGCTGGCGATGTATTTTATAACACCTCTAGCTTTATATGCACTGATGCAGTAGCAAACTGAAACAGGTACTCCCAATATATAAAACTGAAACCCACGTCAATTTGGAGACATCAGCTGGATGGTTAGACTATCATAAACGTGCAATCCTGCATCTGAGTAGCTTTGAAGCAAGAATGTCTTAGGTTCTGACTTTAACATGGATACTATATATCTCTTCCGGAGGGATCATTTAGCTAATCAAAGTTGTGTTTGTTTGACAGATTCTTGCAAAGCATGGAATTTGCGTTGCGGGCAAGAATATGATCTTGTTTGGATACACTTGTACCTATCTCAATCTGCGTGTATTGAGATGGTCGAGTGGAAAATTAACTAACTTCATGCCAATCCACTTCAACGCACAAATATTGATTTAAATACGAGTGCATCTAAACACGCCCTAAAGTGATTTAAGAATTTATATTAAGTGAAAAATGGAAACATTATGGGTTAGAGCTGTCAAACAGGGGATGCATGCTATGATACCGCTGGAGCAATAAATTTGAGCTCAGAGTTAAACAGCACACGGAAAGAGATAGGGCTGTCGGCGCACTTTAGTTCCAATTTTTGTGTCGCCTCATGTTTGTTTTTTAAAAAAGTTTTTTACTCCTATCTCAGAATAAATCAACTCCTGGAGTTATCTTAACTCAATATGTTTTTAGTTTGACCAACTTTATGGAAGAGTAATATCATCTTTGATACCAAATAAGTATATTATATAAATATATTTTATGGTATATTTAGTGATACTAATTTGCATTAATTAATATTGGTGTTATTTTCTATAAAATTGATTAAATTTAAGTAATATTTAGCAAGATACAGCAGAGAAACAACAGAGTCCGGAAGAAAATTATGTACCCAAAACTACTTTTATTTTTCGATTGGGTAAATTTACTTCGAACACGAGTTGTTGGGCCAGAAGCCTCTCGACCGCGACCACCGGCCTCCGTTGCGGCTGTAGGGGCTCCCGGGCTGGCTCTTCCGTCCTGGGCTCCTGGCGAGCTTCTAGCAGCTGGCCGCCAGAAGAAGGAAGAACCACACGCCATCGGCCCATCACCAGTTCACTACCAACCACGTAGTGGGCCTTACGGGCCTAATATTGTGGGCTTGTCCTTGCCACGGTATCAGACCAAAAAGCTAGGCGTCGTTGGCTCGTTGCGATCCAAGACTGGCACGGAGCGGTCAGCGACTCAGCTGTTCGGAGGAAGCCCAGCGCCGGCGATGGCGAGTGCGAACCCGGCGGTGGCGGAGGCGGAGGTGGAGGCGGAGGCGTCGGTGCGGCGGGACGAGCTGTCGGAGTCGCTGGCTGAGCTCTTCACCAACGTCTCCCTCATGGTCCGCGGCGAGCTCCAGGTTCTCTCTCTCGACTCTTATCGAATCATTCTGGGGGTCGCGCAATTACAGCCGCGTCCTCACTTTCCTGGAATTAGGCAAGCTGGTTGATTATGGTCCATTCCCGGTTATCGATTCCACGAGAGGAGTAATTTTAAGTGCGCATTAGTTAACTGCTAATCAGTGGCGGAGCCAGGAATTTATGGCTGTGTATGCCACATGTATAAAATTTTGAAGCATCCGGAGCAGGGAAAAGGGCAAGGGCCGCAGCCCGCAGGGGGCGACCGGTCGAGCCGGCGAGGGGGGGGGCGGGGGACGGGGGGAGGGGCTGTGCAGGGGCGAGTCGGCCGGAGTGGGGACGTGGCGAGGTGCTGCCCGGCGATGCCGGTCGCCGGTAGGGGAGGTGTTCCGTGCTCGGGGCCGTGTCGAGATATTTGGGGCTGGAGCGACGATAAATCGGGGCCCTAAAGTTTATACAAGTTGTATGGCTAATAAAATTAAATCATAGCTGCAGTGAAATATATGACTTTAACATGTCTTATAGATATACTTTCACTTAAATTTATAACTTTAATATGTATTCTTTTGTACCATATGTAGAAATACAGTAAAAATATTACTAACCTCAAGAATCATATTTTCTATTTCCAGTAGACATGATGTGGATTGAATTAATTTAAATATATTCATAGAGTGTATATATATATATTAAGTCAAGTCCCATGCCTAAATGTCTAATGTCTTCAGCCCTTCACTCTAATCAGAACAAAAGAAAACACAAACAAATCAAATCAGCCAACAACAGCATTAGTAAATTATTAAATTAAGAATTTGCTAGCACGCCAGGACTCTATAGGTCTAATTAACTTACCTGTTCCGGCCAGTCCAGGCACAGATTTAGAGTCACAAGCAGGCCAAGATCGGAAGGCACTAGGCAGGAAGAGGACACTCGGTAGACGGGGTCGACGCTCAGTTCTTGCGATATTGCTGCAGATGAATCATCGAGTGTAATGCTTCGGCTTGTGGGGCGCGGCGGCAGATGAATCGTCAGCCAGTCAGGCACACGGCAGGCAGCAACGCGCCGTGAAGCCGCACGCGAGCAGGGAAAGGGGCGCCGGGCAGGGGCGACCGAGCGACGGAGTCACGGAGATGTATTCTGGGGCTTCGTTCATGGGCTGCCAGAAACTTTTGTTGTATTGGGCCTTCGAGTGACTCTTCCGAGATACGTATAAACCTGTGTATTAGTGTATATTATACATATTAATTTTTTCTCCCAAATCATGGGTATGCCAAGGCATACAGGGGCATACCCCTGCCGCCGCCCATGCTGCTAATGCTTGGTGATGATTTGGTATGGCAACGTGGCAAATCACGCCGTAACCCTAATGTGAAAGACTTCCCCACTGTCCTGCTTTACTGGCGGACAGCAGCTTCAAATTCTTTGTAGTTAGGAAGATTGTTGCGTGTATTCTCTAGCTGGATGTTTGCTGAATTCGATGCATTCAGGGTTTTTCTTTTTTCCATTTGCTGTGCTCCCATGTGTGCTAACCCTTGAGTTCAAATGATGGGGTGGTAGTGGTAGCTCTGCTTCTCCAAACCTCTCAAACATCTGTTGCAAATGGAAGTACGTAACTACAGTTAAGGTGTTAAAGATGCTATGCTATTTGCAGTGCTGCTGTATCTAAATGAATTTCTTCGGACCGGTAGTTGTAGCAGCTAGTTGTGAGTTGTGAACACTGATTACTTAGTAGTTTCTAGTATTGATTTATATTTACAGACCCCCCCCACACACACACACACACCAATTTTTTTGCTGGAAACTGACCTGAAAAGGGATACCAGGTCGGGTGGTGAGTATGAAGTATGGATTTGGGATTTGGGAACCTAGGACATTTGGCTACACTAGATTGTCACCATTCACTAAGCATTAATTTTCTTTTCGTGGACATGCTGGATCAGAAGTTCAAAACAACAAAAGTGAATGTACAGTATTATTGGAACGCAGGCTAACTTGTTATCATGGTGTGTTCTGTTATTGGCAAGAGTAATGGTCTATATATGGCACTTCCTTTTGTGGCTACCGAGTACTGATATTATTATTCTCAAAGCAACAAATAATTTAAGCTTGTGATAAAAGAACACCAACAGTTTAGGTAAAAATAACTTAAAAATGAATATAGTCGTTAAAATTTAAGAGAACTGTATTTTCCCCCCATAGGCTGGCCCTTGAAATAAAAGTCAGTTTGTTTTCCTATGTGGTATGAAAGTTGAACCTTTATTAATGTTCCTCGGTAAGGTTATATAGTTAGCATGCACTCCTTGAACCCTTGTTAATGTTCCTCGGTAAGGTTATATAGTTAGTATGTACTCCATCCGTACCAAATTATAGTTCACTTGAGCTTTGTCCTAAGCCAAACTTTAGTTTCATTAATATTCTCCATGAAATATGTCTTGATAGTGCATTAAATTGAACTTGTAGATGTTAAATATTTTTGAAAAAAACTAGCCAAAGTTAGAGATGTGTGACTTAGGAAAAAGCTATTGTGAACTATAATTTGGAATACAGGGAGTATTGGTTATGTTGTAAGCTGAATTTAATTTATTGACCAGACTTGAGTGTCTGTCATTGCTTTCAGGGGACTAACAATCAGCTGGCTCTGCTTGAGAAGATGAATGACCGTGTAGCACAGGAATACAGCAACTATGGTGACATTGCCGCCGGTCTGCGAGTCTTTGTAGAGCAGCTGAACGAGAAAAACCGAGGCTTCGACGATTACGTGTCGCAGATCGATGCGATAGACCAACAGGTGACTGAGTTTGAGGCAGTGGTGTCCATGCTCGACAAGCACGTTGCCCTCTTGGAAAAGAAAGTAAAATCGGCCTATCACATTTCTGCTACCCAATGATTTCCCATCCACAGACCACTACTACGCAGTTTCTTTTGCCGACACTTGAGTTGAGCTTATCCAAGAAACATATTATATTCTGGGTGAATGAGGAGACAGCGCTGTAGGTGCTGCTAAGTTTCCACCATTGCAATGATGCAATCAGATTCCAAGTTGTGCTGGAGTAACTTTCAGACAGATTAGCCAGCAGTTGTGATTTTGTCCCTCACAGTAGTAGTACTGTATTTTGGTAGTAGTACGTGGGTATTAGTGCCAGGAAATTGATACGAGTGCCGGATTTTACGGGGCCTAATCATTGCCTACTGAGCACAAGAAACCTGTCCCTGTTGTGTATAGTAATTTCTGGATCGATGGGCGAACTGCATCTTGCAGTGTACGCGCATGCTTCCAAGATTCCTGCAGATTTTCGGTCCACGAAATTCAGCCTGTTTTGCTCATATACGACCGTGGATTATAAGTTACAATAATATTTTTCCTTTACACTAAATCAACCAGCAGTAAATAATGCACGATCGTTTTACGATGAAACGAACAGGCTGATTGGCTGCAGGAGACTGGTCAATGACATGTGGAGGCTCCGGAGCTGAATCCTCCAGTACCAAAAAAATTCTTGAGCTGGATGATTTCACATGCAGATGCAGCTTGGCATCTCATGCTTCTTTTATTTATCATTGCCGTTGTGCTGCCTGAGCTCTTCTACTACGTGGGGCTGAACTACACATCCTTTTTTTTTTGTTTCAGCGGAATTTGATCGTTCGGATGCCTTTTGAATATGGGGTAAAATTTTAGCTGAAACTGGCTGAAAACACTGATCTGGCTGAAATTAGTATGATAGAAAAATATTGTTCCGGCTAAAAAAAATCGAATAGATTAAATATGGGGTAAGCTGAACGGACCTGCCCATCATTTTCGAGCAAAATCTGGCCGTCTTTTGCTTCGATGGGACCAACGCCTCAGTGGAGCACGGCACACGCAGATTTGACCTCCGTTTGTATTGCACCGGGAAACCCGTCGACTTGACCTCGTGCTCACTGCCCAGACGTCACAAGATGCGAAAGGGGATTTTTATATATTCGATCAGAACAGGTTTCCTTGAGAATGCACTGAGAGTGAGACCATTCTTGGAACAGCGACACTTGCCCTCGCCACAAGTTAAATTAAATTATTAGTCAACAAGAGGACAGCGATTGGTTTGGTTTAGACTAATGTAACGTGGCAGCTCCATCGGCGGTTGCCACGCTGGGTATATCATCAGATCCTGCGCCCGCAGACACTGTGCGGTGGGGCCGGGCCCTCTGTCAGAGGGTGCAGGCAGCAGTGACAGTGAGCGGGCGATGGGAGAGCACCTGTCAGTCCAAAATAATGGCGTGCCATGGGCCATCATATGGCTGGCCTCGGCTGGTTTAAGCTTCCAGCTCGTCGCCGTCGAGCTCAAGGCTGGTTTGTTGGTTGCTGCAGCGCAGGCATCGGTCCCTGGACTTTTGGGATATTTGCGTGATGGTGGTGTCGGCCTTTTGCTGATGCGTATGGTCACATAAATGGCTTCTAAAATGCGAAAATGATTTAATTAACTCCCTTTGTCTTCTGATGGCAAAGAATTGGTTGTATATGCTGACGGTGGTATTAGTTTATGTGTTATATATAATATAGCGATTCATAATTTTTAATGGGCTTTTGCAAGCATCGATCCTTTGGAATGTTTTATTTCTGATTTCACTATGTACGTAAGCGCCAAAGACTTTGGTATGGCATATGGAATGCAAGAAAATAGGAATAGATTAAACCAATGGATTGTTAAATTGAAAAGAAAAAAGTAGCGAGGGATAAGTGTTTAATTCATCATTGAAGCAACCACGTGTTATCTTAGCTAGAGATTAGAGCCCCACGAATTTAAAACGAATCTGTTGTAGTACATAATCGTTTAGAAAGATTGCAAAAAACAATTATTGACGGTATATGTTCCAAGTAAGTAGAAATAGAAAAAATCAACATCAAAATACAATGTACAACTAAGATGAGAAGTGGCCATAAACCTAAGAGCATGATATGCATCGAAAACATGCAATGCTCATCATAATAGTGGTGCCTTATACATGTGATTGTACGTGTTAACACGTACTAGCATTGTACCATATAGATAGATTTGACAGCATAACCACCACACAAGGTTCATGTCCGGCCAATTGCCTGGGCATATTCACTTGAACTTATCAGCCGACTTATCAACTAGAATTTACAGTATTTTTCTCTTATAACAAATCAGTTTTAGCCGGCTTTAATATCAACCGAACATGCCTTTCATCATAATACTATCCAAATATACACCAGAGAGTACCAATACTACCCATATATATAGTACTCAATTCTATTTCTATTTTTTAGTAACACAGTACATATGCACCAAAATATCATAATGGTATTTGCACGTCACTATCGTTCCATTTTTCCTTTTTTTTTAACTGTTCAACCGGGTTGTTGGAGACCTGTTCTGCTTCACTGCCGTGCAAAAACCACCCAAATCATCGTCACAATTCCAACGCCACAGACTCCACAGCCCTCTCTCCTCTCCTCTCCTCTCTCTCTCCTTCCCCTCCTCCCTCTTTCCACGACGCCAGACGAAACTGAAAACCATCGACGCGCTCCGCCCACCCTTCCCCCGCGGCCCTCCTCCGCTCCGCCTCCCAGCCCAGCCCGCAAACCCTAACCCTAGATGGGCGCCGTCACCTCGACGGTCGCGGCGCGCTTCGCCTTCTTCCCGCCGAGCCCGCCGTCGTACGGGGTGGAGCAGCCGCCACAGCCGCCGGCCCCTGCCGCCCCCGAGCCGGCGCCGGCGGCGAAGGCGGGGGAGGAGAAGGGCGGCGGCGGGGGAGGCGCGGTGGTGGAGCTCACGGGCGTCCCGCGGAGGGGCAACGTGGAGGCGCGGCGGCTGCGGACGAAGCGGGGCACGGAGGTGGTCGCGATGCACGTGCGCCAGGCGGGGGCCAAGCTCACGCTGCTCTACTCCCACGGCAACGCCGCCGACCTCGGCCAGATGTACGAGCTCTTCGTCGAGCTCAGCGCCCACCTCAACGTCAATCTCATGGGGTACGCGTACACGCCCAGCCCAGCCTGTTCCGTTCCACCTCCACGCGCTCTCCTCCCCGATTGAGTTGCATTAGCTCAGATTGCGTTGCGATTCGATGCTCCCCTCTTGCAATTCTGCGCCGTTGGGACCACCGTGGGTCTGCAGTGTAGCCTTGGATCTTCCTGATCGTGTGTCCCTGGATCGGAGCTACTGCTGCAATCTTATCTCGACTCTCGAGTTAGAATGCCGCTCGTGTTCATTTGGATGAAATGTTGGGACACTGGGGCGGATCACTGGGGCTGCTGCCTCCTACCTTCGATGACAGATGCAACCTGACCAATTACTATTGACTTGAGGCATTCATGATCCCAGTATGAAGCTGTACGAATGCTGGAATAGTGCTTGATGCTGCTTGGTTTGCTTGCAGTAGTTCACCTTTTTTTTTTTTGGCTTTGAAATCCTATGTTTGACACTGTTACGTTAGCTGATTTGTGGTTGTCGTCATTTTGATTTTTCTGTGAGGCTGTTTCATTTTATGATTGGAATAAACCTGGCCATGTCTGTTTGAGGCGATTGCTCTCCAGTCTATGTAATTTACTTAATGATATTAGATAGCACAAATGACATTTAGATTTTTAGTTCCTAATTGCTATAGGTTATTTTGTGACTGACTTGATTCTCTGTGAGGTGGCATGGAGCCTGGTTTTTGTTTGTTAGAGGTTACTACATTTCCTGGTTTAATTGGAACTGTTCACCAATGGAGTGTGGTAAAAACAAAATAATTTCTTTTGGGTAACAGTGCGCTGAAATAGCACGTGCTTGCAGGAGCATGAAATTGATACATACATTCATGCAGTTTGTCTGTTTGGTAGCGCTTGTAAAGTTCTAATACTGAAATTGCTGGTCAAAAGTTTCAGTTGAGGAATAATTTTGCAAATCTTTTGTTATTCACTATCTGAGGAAGTGTTCAAATGGTTAAATTAATTACTGGCAGTTGGTAACTCTACATAAGCGGAAGTTAGGAAACACAAATCTTAGTATTATTTTTCTTTAAATAGAAATGGTTTATCTTTCTTGCTTGACCATTCTGGCACTTTATTTTGAGCACACTTCCGTTAAAGATTCTGGGGTTAGCCCATTTGTTTCGCTCTCCCTGTTTGGTTTGGTGAAATAGCTCAGGAAATGAGGAATCTTTGTTTTTAAATTTCCATTCGACTCTACTTTAAGGTCCATGTTTCAGGGGAAAATAAAGCTGTTAAAGCAATTCTTGGTCCAATGTGCCTGATGATTGGTGGTCTGGTGGTTGATTGTCGATGCGAGAATCATTGATTGATTCAGTGAATCTAGCAGCTGTAGCCAATTTAAAATTCTGTGGTTAGAAAGAATTGCCTGTTGGTTTGTCCTCTGCTCCTTTTCTTTAAGCCAAGCTTTTTCTTGCTTTTGTTATGTTGTTTGCTAATAATATAATCGACATTCCTTTCATCTTTTTTCTTATTGCTCTGTCCTTTGAACCCATTTTTGTCCTCTTTAAAGCCATGCATTTTGCCATGTACCATCATGCTGCATGGTTACTTTAACTAGTTGATTGTGTTTGGTTGAGTAATGTAACTTCAACATCACGGAGGACTGCTTCTGACATGGCCCATAGGGCTTTCGTGGCTACCTTGGGACCTCTGTTATACTTAAATTTCTTGCATGATTACTAGATACCATTCATAACTCAGGCATCAGTGTTCATTACCAGTGATTACTGATACATGTTCCTAGAATGGAACTTAGCAAACTGAAATGTCTTTGCATTAACCGAGATGCGCTATCAGGTATCAGCTGACTTTCATTTTTCTTATCAAATTAAAAAAAGATGAATATGAGTCATGAACAGCTGAAAGTGACTCAGAGAAATAACTTAAACATTTTTTTTCACAAAAGAGCTGAG